TGTGTCAACATTTACATGACAATGTGTCTTACATAATTATGTGTCAACATTTACATGACAATGAGTCTAACAGATGTGTCAACATTTACATGACAATGAGTCTAACAGATGTGTCAACATTTACATGACAATGTGTCTTACATATGTGTCAACATTTACATGACAATGTGTCAACATTTACATGACAATGTGTCTTACAGATGTGTCAACANATAAGTTGGTCTTGAAACAAATTTAATAAACTGCTTTTTATCTTGCTTTGGTCGATTTCATGGGGTGATGAATTGAGTTCAAATTTAATTTGTTTCATGACCAACTCAATTCATCACCCCATGAAATCGACCAAAGCAAGATTCAATCCTTAAATGAATTTGTTACCTTGTTGATGGCACTGTGCTTGTTATTATTACATTGATACTATTGATGGCACTGTGCTTGTTATTATTACATTGATACTATTGTTGGCACTGTGCTTGTTATTATTACATTATGATCAGAAGAGTTCCTTCCCTTATTCCTTTTGACGCCACATGCCTGGGAAGGAACTCTTTCCATCATGATTTATACACAGATATGTGGTGTCTAAAGGAATAAGGGAAGGAACTCTTCCCATCATGAATTATACACAGACATGTGGCATCTAAATAAATAAGGGAAGGAACTCTTCCCATCATCATTTATACACAGACATGTGGCGTCAAAAGGAATAAGGGAAGGAACTCTTCCCATCATGATTTATGCACAGACATGTGGCATCTAAAGGAATAATGAAAGGAACTCTTCCCATCATGATTTATACACAGACATGTGGTATCTAAAGGAATAATGGAAGGAACTCTTCCCATCATGATTTATACGCAGACATGTGGCATCTAAAGGAATAAGGGAAGGAACTCTTCCCATCATGATTTATACACAGATATGTGGCGTCAAAAGGAATAAGGGAAGGAACACTTCCCATCATGATTTATACACAGACATGTGGCGTCAAAAGGAATAAGGGAAGGAACACTTCCCATCATGATTTATACACAGACATGTGGCATCTAAAGGAATAAGGGAAGGAACACTTTCCATTATGATTTTTACACAGACATGTGGCGTCTTAAGGAATAAGTAAGAGAACTCTTCCCATCATGATTTATACACAGACATGTGGTGTCTAAAGGAATAAGGGAAGGAACTCTTCCCATCATGATTTATACACAGACATGTGGTGTCTAAAGGAATAAGGGAAGGAACTCTTCCCATCATGATTTATACACAGACATGTGGTGTCTAAAGGAATAAGGGAAGGAACTCTTCCCATCATGATTTATACACAGACATGTGGTGTCTAAAGGAATAAGGGAAGGAACTCTTCCCATCATGATTTATACACAGACATGTGGTGTCTAAAGGAATAAGGGAAGGAACTCTTCCCATCATGATTTATACACAGACATGTGGTGTCTAAAGGAATAAGGGAAGGAACTCTTCCCATCATGATTTATACACAGACATGTGGTGTCTAAAGGAATAAGGGAAGGAACTCTTCCCATCATGATTTATACACAGACATGTGGTGTCTAAAGGAATAAGGGAAGGAACTCTTCCCATCATGATTTATACACAGACATGTGGTGTCTAAAGGAATAAGGGAAGGAACTCTTCCCATCATGATTTATACACAGACATGTGGTGTCTAAAGGAATAAGGGAAGGAACTCTTCCCATCATGATTTATACACAGACATGTGGTGTCTAAAGGAATAAGGGAAGGAACTCTTCCCATCATGATTTATACACAGACATGTGGTGTCTAAAGGAATAAGGGAAGGAACTCTTCCCATCATGATTTATACACAGACATGTGGTGTCTAAAGGAATAAGGGAAGGAACTCTTCCCATCATGATTTATACACAGACATGTGGTGTCTAAAGGAATAAGGGAAGGAACTCTTCCCATCATGATTTATACACAGACATGTGGTGTCTAAAGGAATAAGGGAAGGAACTCTTCCCATCATGATTTATACACAGACATGTGGTGTCTAAAGGAATAAGGGAAGGAACTCTTCCCATCATGATTTATACACAGACATGTGGTGTCTAAAGGAATAAGGGAAGGAACTCTTCCCATCATGATTTATACACAGACATGTGGTGTCTAAAGGAATAAGGGAAGGAACTCTTCCCATCATGATTTATACACAGACATGTGGTGTCTAAAGGAATAAGGGAAGGAACTCTTCCCATCATGATTTATACACAGACATGTGGTGTCTAAAGGAATAAGGGAAGGAACTCTTCTGATCATAAGTTAAACTCAGACATGTAGGCCCCTTTTGCGTATCTGGTTCAACCAGTTAGTCTGTTTTTAAATTTAACATTTTTGTGAAAATGCAGGCCTTGCAAGGCTTTGTCAAGACTCGCCCGAAAGCAGCATTAGATTAATAGGTCAACTCTGGTCTGTCTGGTTCAACAATTTGGATCGCAATAAACATGCGGTCGTGGTATCATAGGGACAAGGGAAGCAGGTGTTGGCCTGGTATGTTAATTAATTTATGCTATATTAGCATATATATCCTAGCCATTTTTATTTTTGCTATGTCTGCCCATGTGTATGTTAGGCTCTGGCTATTTAACTAATCAGACAATTTTTATATTTGCTATGTCTTCCCATGTGTAAGTTAGGCTCTGGCTATTTAACTAATCAGACAATTTTTATATTTGCTATGTCTGTTCATGTGTATGTTAGGGTCTGGCAATTTAACTAATCAGACAATTTTTATATTTGCTATGTCTGTTCATGTGTATGTTAGGCTCTGGCTATTTAACTAATCCGACTTGTCACAAGAGATGTATTCTTTCTGCAGTATTTGATGTATAGTAATATATTAATGCATGTGATATTATTGGCCATTTGATAACTATGTAGCAGGACTGGACTGGTTTGATTGTCGGCGACTAGGTAGCTCACTCGGAGGAGCATCCCTCTAGAGTTTGGAAGGTCTTGGGTTAGAATGCCAGTCTGGCAACACATTTCTCTTTCTCCTATTTCAAAATTGGCAAGATTGCCAATCCTTGTTTCAAGCACTGAGTGAATGCTTGGCAGAGAGATACCCACACCAGGGGTTGTAAATATTTGTGTCTTTGGGGCCGAAGTCTTAGGGAAGATGGAGGAATGTAGCGGGACTAGACTGGGTGGATTGTTGGCAACCAGGTAGCTCAATTGGTAGAGCATCTGTCTAGAGTTTGGAGGGTCCCGGGTTGGACTCCTGGTCTGGCTGTTCTCTATCTCCTATATTACACATATTGTAGGTGGTATCTACCGTTAAGTCTATATCAGTATGTTTCAGAAATACTATGTAAAACTAACCCATTTTACTAATCTGGTTTTGTTTTAAAACTGGTATGACAGGAAAAAATAAGTTATTGCTACACGATGTCAAGACATTTTCAGCCTACTTCACGCAGCATCATTTGGATTACCCTGTACTGTCGGTAACAGGTACCTAGTGTAGATAGGCTGTTAAAAAATGTAACTTCTGGTCAATATCAGGGTACAAGGTAGACTGTTAGATATGAATCTGTTTTAAGTACGTGTTTTGTACTGGAGTCGAGCCAACCTTTAGCTCTTTAGTTAGGTAAATACAGGTATAAAAAACAACTATTATTGCATTAGTTTGTACAATATCTTATCAAAGCCAAAACAAAGAAATTTTGTGTTTGGGTGTAACATATTTAATTCAGTATTATGGTTCAGTTCGTGTATAAATAAACAGTAGACACTGTGGTCAGGACTAATGGTTCAGTTTTAGTATATAGCACACTGGTACTGTTTAATTCAGGAAATATTATTTAACTTTAGAGTACCGATTCGTGCGATACAACGATCAAGTCCAGTGGAGAGGACCTATAGAGGTCCTGTACTGGAAACTAACTAAGTAACTCTAAGTAACTATAACACGCTTGTGCCATCTATGAAAAGTCTGTTTAATACTTACTGTGTCATTAATATAATGATTATTTACATGATTTTGATCTTTAAAATAAAATTTGGTATATTATAAAACAAACAATTAATTTGCTGTCATTTGTTTTTTTACATTTTTTTTTACCTTTTCAACATTTTTAATGTATGATGTATATCTCCTTTTCTACAGTGTTATTTTACCCAACATGATATGGGCTGTTAAACTATGCAAAAAAATAAATCTATTAGCTTAGGTATTATCCCATATGACCCAATTTTTATGTAAGAAAAATCCTGTAGAGGTTGACAATTATAGGGGAGAGAAATTACTTGGTGACAGCCTGGTAAATTGATATAACATTGACACCAGCAGCTGATTGTACCTATGTCTGACAGAAATATGATATTGGTGTGCCACGTGTGGTGGTTTAAGTCAAGATAGACATCTTAATCTAACACTCTATGACACTATATACTGAGGTAAAGAAAGGAAGACCTACTTTCACTGAATCAATCATAGTCACATGAACAAGAGAACTTGTCCATGGCTACCATACAGTACAGTATTGTTTAGCCTGGTGAACTCTTGGGTTACCATTACTGTAGGGAACCTAGCAGTTCTATCAATCAATAAAGCCCAGAAATTGTCCTTTTCAGCAGGTGATTATTGTGATTACATATACGAGATGTGAAGTGAAAATGCCAGGGAAATTTTATAACTACTTGATAGATGTTTAAATTTTACAAATAGCGGATCCCTGAACTACATCTCAAATTGCCTGCAATTTAACAGGCGTACACTTAACTCTATGATTCCTACCTGGGACTGTCATTAAACTAACTGATGGATTCTAACTGTACAGTGTAATTGAGCGATCTTTTTCATCTTTCTATTTTTGTGAGTTATTTTCAAAGAAAAACTGAAAGTGAGTCCATCCTTTAAGATATATAACATCCATTTGCTACAGGTTGTGATTATTTGTAATTTCATGACAAAAAAGGTCATCTAATGTTGAGGGAGTGAATTCTCTATCAGTGTGGAGTAGGGTGTCACCGTGTGTGACTGTCCAAGATGGAGCTCCTGCAGTATATAGACAAAAACACATCAAAAGTCACTCGTATAGATGGATTATATTATCTGGAACAGTTTAAGGTATAGCAGATGTGACATCTGGTTTGTTTCATTATATAGTCTTAAATAATTTAAGATTGATGGTATAAATAATAACAGATTTGACATCTGTTAAATTATATTAGATTATAAGATTGATGGTATACATAATATTAGATTTGACATTTGTTTAATTAGATTAGATTATAAGATTGATGGTTTAAGAAATAATAGATTTGACATCTGTTAAATTAGATGATATTTTAAGATTGATGGTATAAGAAATAATATATTTGACATCTGTTAAATTAGTTTATATTATAAAATTGATGGTATAAGTAATAATAGATTTGACATCTGTTAAATTAGCTAATATTATAAGATTGATGGTGTCAGTCATAATAGATTTAACATCCGTTAAATTAGATTAAATTATCCTAAAAAGGTATGGTAAATCTAACATGTCTCTATGTAGATGATATAATCTCATATAATTTAAGATACAGATAGTAGTAGATCTGTTAAGATGGTTTACAGTATCATAGGGTATATCTTCTGGGCACATGTAAGTGTAGCTCTTTTTGTGGGAACATGATTTTTCCTCAAAGTGAAGATGGGTAATTATATATATGAAGAAAAATATAAACCACTGGCCTTAGTGAAACTGAGGTGGTGTTTGATCACAGAACGGCCTTGAATATTACACTAACTACATACAGGAACTTCTATCCATGTTTAGTTAGAATGATGACATGTATTTCCATGGCAATATGACTATTAAGCATGAAGCCAACAAGATTTGCAGCATTATTTTTGGCAGTTTATAAGTTACACAATTATTTTGGTGGTTTATACGATACATAGATTTTGTGGTTTAATTATTAAGTAAAAAATATTTTTGGTGGTTTGTATATGTGTTACAGTTCTTAAAATTAACATAATACGTAAATACATCTGTTGTGTAGTACAAATATATATACTTATACATTACAAAGTAGGTACATGTACTACAAACAAGCCTACACTACAGATGTATGTACTACAATTATTGAGACATTCTCAACCTGCTAAAGGCCAAAACTAAATTCGTCTGAGATATTATGCTCCAATGATCCTTAACATGGGCAGATTGGTCGAGTGGTTAACACTCTGACCTTTTACGCAGGCGGCCGGGGTTCGATCCCCGAAGTTGTCTTACACATTGATATTCAGAGAAAGTGTTTTTCTGCTGCCCACACAACTCCCAACAACCAAGGTGGAGTATACATTGATCTGGGGTGGATGTTGCGTTATCTGTGCTGTAGCATTCAAGTGAGGTGACACTATAAATGATGCTGTTGGAAGCACGGTCCCACTACAAACAGAACACATGACATCTCCAGCACACACGCAGGCATACACACATAGGGAGATATTAGCCAGGTGGCATATGACTAGTAGTTAGCGCCTGATAAGGCAGCTCCTGCGAATTCCTCAAAATTGTATTGATTAATGTATATGCTAATTGTATTAATTGTATACCTATGTACTATAAAGCATTTTAGAGTGGCTTATGTTAGCTAGATAGGGCGATATATCAAATGTTGTATATTATTATTAACAGTGATTTTTTTAGTTGATTTGAAGTTGATAATGACTAGCTAGTCATCTATCTGGTTGACCGAGACATTTTGAAAGAAATCACAATTTCTTCAAATAAATTCAAATGTTGAACAGATGTGTCTGTCATTGCTCTAATCTGATGTTTTATTTTAATTCTTTATATAAAAAAGAAATCTAAGATGGAGATCGAATTTCTGGTTAGTGGAAACATTTCAACGTCTTGTCTAGAAAAGATAACAGATTAGAAATACAGGCCCAATGGCATCTTGTTTTCCACTTTAATACCTTTACAGTATGATACTTTTACAAACAGATCCAGATACCAGTGTACATTGTAATAACTATTGTCATAAATTTGTATTCGACTGTAAAATTAGACAATCTTACCTTGAGGCCTGCCACGTTTACCTGGAATGGAAGGCCTCGTAGCCTTATGTACCTGTGATACAGGGTGTGTACAGTTTGTTATCAGTGTCCTCTGTACACTACCTGACCTACGCTTGTCCCAGACTTGTTTCAACATTATTTTCGTTGACAAGTAAGGTATGAGGTCAATTTACCTGCATTTTCTGGTACTATATCAACATAATTAACTGAAAAGGAATGCAGAATATTCAGATGTTAAGAGTGATCAGGCTGAGTGTGCACACTGTGAGATAGCTGTACTTGTCCGATACCTGTGGTATACGTGCTGGGATCTACTCTGTCCAGGTGTTATTGGAATACAGTACAGTTTAAAGTACTGCTTTCATCTTGAAACCTTTCTCCTTGTCTGTTGCAAGCCATGTTTAATTGTCTATTGTGCTTCTGAAGAAGGAAGACAGGAAGTTACAGACACTACCATACCTTTAAGTAACACGTGTAGATTTGAAAGAGCATGTCAGCCACCACAGTATTAACCCAGGCCACAAACGACCCAGTGTCTCTCTATGTAAGTACGACCAGCAATACGACCAAGTGCCTCTCTATGTAAGTACGACTAGCAATATGCCCAAGTGTCTCTATGTAAGTACGACCAGCAATACGACCAAGTGTCAAGAGCTATGTAAATACGACCAAGTGTCTCTCTATATGTAAATACCACCAGCAATACAACCAAGTGTCTCTCTATGTAAATACGACCAGCAAAACGACCAAGTGTCTCTCTATGTAAGTACGCCCAAGTGTCTCTCTATGTAAATACGACAAGCAATACGAACAAGGGTCTCTCTATGTAAGTACAACCAGCAATACGACCAAGTGTCTCTCTATTTAAGTCCGACCAGCAATACAACCAAGTGTCTCTCTATGTAAGTCCGACCAGCAAGACGACCAAGTGTCTCTCTATTTAAGTACGACCAGCAATACAACCAAGTGTCTCTCTATGTAAATACGACCTATGGTCTCTCTATGTAAGTACGACCAGCAATATGACCAAGCGTCTCTCTATGTAAATACGACCAAGTGTCTCTCTATCTCTCTATGTAAGTACGACCAGCAATACAACCAAGTGTCTCTCTATGTAAGTCCGACCAAGTGTCTCTCTATGTAAGTACGACTAGCAATATGACCAAGTGTCTCTCTATGTAAATACGACTAGTGGGATCTACTCTGTCCAGGTGTTATTGGACTACAGTACAGTTTAAAGTACTGCTTTCATCTTAAAACCTTTCTCCTTGTCTGTTGCAAGCCATGTTTAATTGTCTATTGTGCTTCTGAAGAAGGAAGACAGGAAGTTACAGACCCTACCAAACCTTTAAGTAACACGTGTAGATTTGAAAGAGCATGCCAGCCACCACAGTATTAACCCAGGCCACAAACGACCCAGTGTCTCTCTATGTAAGTACGACCATCAATACGACCAAGTGTCTCTCTATGTAAATACGACCTATGGTCTCTCTATGTAAGTACGACCAGCAATATGACCAAGTGTCTCTCTAGGTAAGTTCGACCAAGTGGCTCTCTATGTAAGTACGACTAGCAATATGTCCAAGTGTCTCTATGTAAGTACGACCAGCAATACGACCAAGTGCCTCTCTATGTAAGTACGACCAGCAATACGACCAAGTGCCTCTCTATGTAAGTACGACCAGCAATACGACCAAGTGTCAAGAGCTATGTAAATACGACCAAGTGTCTCTCTATATGTAAATACCACCAGCAATACAACCAAGTGTCTCTCTATGTAAGTACGACCTAGTGTCTCTCTATGTAAGTACGACCAGCAATACGACCAAGGGTCTCTCTATGTAAGTACAACCAGCAATACGACCAAGTGTCTCTCTATGTAAATACGACCAAGTATCTCTCTATGTAAGTACGACCTAGTGTCTCTCTATGTAAGTACGACCAGCAATATGACCAAGCGTCTCTCTATGTAAATACGACCAAGTGTCTCTCTATCTCTCTATGTAAGTACGACCAGCAATACGACCAAGGGTCTCTCTATGTAAGTACGACCAGCAATATGACCAAGTGTCTCTCTATGTAAATACGACAAGCAGTACGAACAAGTGTCTCTCCATGTAAGTACGACCAGCAATACGACCAAGTGTCAAGAGCTATGTAAATACGACCAAGTGTCTCTCTATGTAAATACGACAAGCAGTACGAACAAGTGTCTCTCCATGTAAGTACGACCAGCAATACGCCCAAGTGTCTCTCTATGTAAATACGACAAGCAGTACGAACAAGTGTCTCTCCATGTAAGTACGACCAGCAATACGCCCAAGTGTCTCTCTATGTAAGTACGACTAGCAATATGCCCAAGTGTCTCTATGTAAGTACGACCAGCAATACGACCAAGGGTCTCTCTATGTAAATACGACCAGCAATATGACCAAGTGTCTCTCTATGTAAGTACGACCAGCCATACGACCAAGTGTCTCTCTATTTAAGTACGACCAGCAATACAACCAAGTGTCTCTCTATGTAAGTACGACCAGCCATACGACCAAGTGTCTCTCTATTTAAGTACGACTAGCAATATGACCAAGTGTCTCTCTATGTAAATACGACCAAGTGTCTCTCTATGTAAGTACGACTAGCAATACAACCAAGTGTCTCTATGTAAATACGACCAAGTGTCTCTCTATGTAAATACGACCAAGAGTGTCTCTATGTAAGTACGACCAGCACAATGACCAAGTGTTTTTAGTACAACCTAGTCTAATATGTATGTCAGTACAGTAGAATGTCTGTTTATGTAAGTACGACAGAGTATTATTGTCTTTGAAAGTATGTCCCAATCTCTATGTAATGACGACCCAATCTCTATGTTAGTACGACCAAGTATAAATCTAATAGTAAATACGACTCAGTGTCGGTCAATGTCAGAACAGTCGAGTATTAGTCTTTTTGTCGGTAAAATCAAATAATATGTCAGTCTATGTAAGAAGAACTCTACATATTGCCGGAGTTAGATTATTAGAGGATTAATCCTTGCTGGAGGCATAGTATTC